ATAGAGTCGTTTGATTACTAACTCGAACCCTCCCGGATTCAGATCCGATATGTTTTTTGTAATATCCGAATAAGATTATTTTTCAAACTCCAAAAAAACCAATATTCGAATGAGTTGTATTCGCTCTCGAAGAAGTACCCGAACACCTTGGCCTAAGTTCTTTTGTTCTTATTTCATTTTAGAAGAAAGCTCACAACATTTGAAATTAAGAGTTGAAACATAAAATTTGGGTGAAAAAGACTTGTCAAATACTGAGTTTAAAATAAAAATAACCGTCTTGTTCATGATAGTATGTTGAGGGGGATCAGTGAGAGGAGATCCAAGGAATAAAGAGTTGTGTCAAGTCACCCAAGGAGTAGAAATAGTCTACACGTCGCCGTATAGATACAAAAAAGTTGTTTGTAGTATTCTTCTTTTCACGATGCGGTGGAATGCTCGGCCACGGCCCCTCTACAACATTTTGAGTTCATCACTAAAAAGTTTTACTAATAACTTCGTACCAATACGGTAATTTATTGAATTTTGTAAGAATATGTGGCTTGAGACAGTTCTTACAATCCACTAGTTGATATTGGCGTACTCATCACAATCGGCCTTGAACAGATTGCTTATCTGAAGCGAGGTTTGTTTTTCTTTAGAGAATTTGTATGTCAAACATAACTTAAAGCTCTTCTGCATGCACCCATTTCATCGTTGAGATAAGCCAATATAGCCCCAAAACTAACACATAAACACCACATCACTAGTTATTCATGTAATATATAATTATACAAAAACATAACATTACTACAAATTCTTACCAATGGTCTACAAAGAGAAATCACATACAAATTTAATGTAATTATAAAAAAAAATATTTGAATCAGTTACTCTTTACTACAAAAATAAACATGTGATCTGTTTCCAATTTTTGTTTGTAACAATGCGTATACATATACAGATACATTGGATCCATCATCCATGTCTAGTAGAAACTGGTATTATGGCTTAGATGACAACCTCTCATTCCCAGATTCAGCATAAGAATTGGAAATGATGAATGTATTTAAAGCATTGTTAATGTAGGATGCGAGTAACGGACATGGCTGTATCTAATGGATGTCTTCTGGTATTTTGAGTAAATGGGTAAAAGAGACAGATCAATGACCCAAGGTATTAAAGCAAAAGAAAAAAGGGAACACACTTTACTGTTCACTTAAGAGAACACGATGAGTTTCTTCTCAACTGTCCTGTCACGTTACTTTCAGTATCGTATCGCCTTCCAGAAAAAATACACTGTCCTTTTTCCTCTAGCTATCAACATAGCCCCTTCCAACCCCCATCTGATCATGCCTGTTAACTAGACTCGATTAAATAAACTGTATATTTGCCATGTAAGTTTGAAAATATATACACATGTCTTGTCAACTTAATGGGATAATTCAAAATAATGGATTCATAGATAAGAGAATACACAAAAGTTTTGATTAGACACAGAGAAATTAAAACTAGCTTGTGAGATAGCAACCTTATACAGCTTGTACTCCTAGTCTCCTAACAAGACCTAGACGTTGTGCATCTACAGTTGTCTTTTTATTTTTGAAACACAAGCATCTACAGTTGTCTATTCCAAAATTAGTTCATCAATGTTTACGTTCCACATTCGTAAGTCGTTTATAGCAAGGAAAAACAAACATCTACAGAAACAAACATTATGGCACACTAATTTTTAGTAGACAATAAATTGGGTATATGTCACACCACAAACCAAGGTTTACTAGGTTATAGATATAACTCTATTAGATTTCATTTGAGCGACTATATGATCCTACAAAAAATTTTGTTAGAGAAGATGATATAGATGACATTTTCCATAGGGAAGGAGGGGGGGGGGGGGGGAGGGGTATAAATAATGACGTTTTATATATGAATATATATAAGCAAAAGAAAATAAAATGTTAACTTATACTATCTCTGCTCTATCACAAAGATAAAAGAATTTGGAAATTTGTTTCACATAGAATTTTTGTGTTTTTTTTTATAATATTTAACAATGGACAAGTCTCTCAAATAGACATTTTTATCACAAAAATAGATTTCGAAAACTAAAATGACCAAAATAACATTTTTTATTTTGAAAATTTTAAGTTTTTTTGTTTAGAAAAAAATTTGAAATCCTATCTCCAGAACCACACTCCTCAACTCTAAAAAAAATAGTATTAGTTAATTCAAATGGTATAATGTATATTTACTTATTTTTGATAAAACATTTAAATCTATTTTGGTCAGTTTTATTTTTAAGGTCTATATTTGTGACAAAAATCTTTTTAGATCTAACCTAGATTTTTTTTAAAAATAATTAGATGATTATCTACATGCATGTGCTAAGTAAAATTTATATATTAATAATTATTAAATATTAATTTTCATCATTCAACTATCATGTCATAAGTCCCAAAACTTATAATTATGGATCGTCAAATATAAGATTAATGAGTAGGATCATGTTTATTGATATATTTTTAACCTATTTAATTTACATTGAGCTTCAATGTTATCATCCATATATTATAATTTAATGAACATTAACTATGAATACAAATTATTTATATAAATTATTATTATTTTCTGTTTATGTACGCATTATACAATAATAAATATATTAAATAATTGGGAAGAAAATAAATGAAAATAATCTCTCTTTGTTATTTACAATAATTTTTGTTTGTAAAAAAAATAAAACCATCATTTATTTATTTTATATGATATATAATTAAAACTAAATGATACTGAAATATATATATATATATATATATATGTATATTTTATATTTTAATATTTATATTTATTAATTGAGACTTTGTATTGGTATGATTTTACTAATATTTTTATATTTTCTGTAACAAAATACGAATATTTATTAATTGAGATTTCTTACTCAATGAAAATTTTGAAATTTTATAACGAAAAATTAGACCATTGATCAAAAAAAATTTGATGTGTATTTTTAACAGTCTTAGTAATTAATAATCGTTTAAAATATTCAAAATATAGCATATAAGGAAAAATATTATTTTAATTATATGCTTAACGTTGATTTTAATTTCTTTTAAGAATATAAAATTAAACAAAAATAATGGAAGATACAAATATTGTTATCAACTCTTTATTATTCAAAATAATTAATTGTCATATATTTTCCTATCATATTAGCTAATTTCTTAGCTGTTGTTTAAGGAAATAATTGAGATATTCTTTTATACACTACTAATTAATTTGATAATTAATTTAATAGAAAATATAATATATAGTGAGATATATCAATTTTTCTAAGGATTCTAAAAATCAACATAGTGATGAGATGTGATTAGCAAAACATGTTGTAATGTTCCATGATTAATATATGAGGATATTAAATTAGAAATTTCAAAAAATAATAATTGAATTTGTTTTTGAAACTCAATTCAATTTATTGAAATAAAAATGATAAAAAGTTATAAATTCCAAGAAATCAACTTAACATCAGTGTTAACTTATCGTTCGAAGAAGCAAGGAAAGAAAAACGTTAACATGTTAGCCGTGTGTGGCCAATGTACATGAAGAGGTTAGAAGAAGGCCACGACCCACGAATCAGAGAGGGGACAAGGTGAATAAGGAATTAAAAGGTTAGGGGGAGACTTCAGAAAAGAAGAGACAAGAAAAGAGAGACCCACAAAAAGAAAGACACGATTAGAGAGGTGCAGCATTTGACACAACTCCTTCTTTTCTCGCCCGCACGCAATTTGGGTCTCGTCCTCATATTTGTTTGGTGGGCTCTCTCTTTTAAACATTTGCTCCCTCCCACAGTTTTGGTCGGATTCGCTTCATCTATCTCTCTCTCTCTCTCTCTCTTTTATCCAACTTTTTCTTGTCTCTTCTATTCTGAAGAAAACAAATCTATAATCGATGAGAAGATCATATCATATAGGATCAACTGGTCTTCTTTATTTCACTCTGGTTAATTTGTTTGTGAAAGTAGAAAAAAGGTCGTATCGTATGAGCTGTAATTAGCTGTATAGTCACATTTTGGTAGACTTAGGAATGTACACTTTGGTCCAACTTAGACATGATGCATTTTGAGATAATTTCAAGTCATTATTCCACATAAATGCAAAAACGCCTAGAAGATTACGACAGAAAGCAACAAGACTGTGTGAGAGAGAGTATGTGTGACCACATTATAGTAGTCTTGAGTGTGGACCATATTAGATTAACACCCCACTCGTGTGTCCTGTCTTTCAATTGCTTGTCTCGATTCAGTTTCAACGACAAAACCTTTGTTCCCTTCCCTAATTTGACGCTATTTGTTTGTATAACTAAATTTAACATTTCTTTCTTTGGCATCTTACATTCTTTAATCCGGAAACCCGCAAAAAAATATGGCAATCATTGTACGCCATCAAAAAGTGCATTAATACATTTGTCTTGACTATAAGAGTAAAGAAAGTTATATCCGTTTTATTACATAATCCTGCGGCTTAAATGTGATAAGTCTCGACCATGGTCCTCTTCCTCCAAAGCATGGCCATCTCAATAACGCAGTGAAATTGCAACTCACAAGTAAGGATGTTCCGGTCGAGAGCCTGGCTCAGTTCTGGACTATGGCCAGGCTAGACTGTATTATGTTTTGTAAAATCAGGATTGGACTCCGTTTAGGCTAATACACCCACCTTTGTTTTGTAATTTTCAAGAAAGCCACGGCCGATCATTGTCTGGACGACCAAGAACAAGACCATACTACATCCTCACAATCAAGGCTTAGTCAGGAAAAGACTAATCAATACCGGGTGGGAATGAGCAGGCTAGACTGGCCGGCCCATAGCAATAGGCCCATGGGCAGAATGACAAAATATCTCAACAACGAGGGAACCAAGTAACGATCAGACCACAATGATGAAATGAAGGCCAAGTCAGAGTCCGACTGGGTTGGGCCGGCACATTCCAACAGCCCATTAATACTCTCAATCAGGAAATGGTCAAATTATAAACGCATTTTTATTGTCATTTATCAATGGTCCATAAGATGTACAAACTGTTTATGGTAGCGTCTCTCCTCATCGGTATATATAACCTAAGGGTACATGATATTTACCTGTTCTTGAAGATGCTTAAAACATTTTGTAATCATTCAAAGTCTTAACCAGAATTATCTAGCTCGAGTTTTGCAACTACAGCCTTCTTCTCATCTTCCGGAAGAGCCATGAACATGAAAACAGATTTATCCCCAATATCATCCTTCAACAACAATCAAACCAGAAACACAGATGATTAGTATTATAGCATTTTTGATACTTGTAAAGATATTGGAATCTTGAGTGAACCACATGTGTACCTTTATAGGCTGAGTGAATTTTCTTCCAGCAAATACCACAAAGAGTGCCATCCATGTGCCTAGCAACACCAGTTTTACCTCATCATTCATCAGGCCACTCTGCAAATTCATCACTCATTACTTAAGTCTCAGAACATCACCTAACTAAGATTCAAAGATGTGCTACTAAGGTAGCTAAAACAGGAGGATACTTTACCAAATGCCCTAGAAGTACTGAGGGTATGATGAAAGTAAGAAGGCCAGCTTCTAGCTTACCATAACATAGCCCTGCAAACCAAAAAAAAAAAAAAAAAATGCAAATCAAGAACATTACTATGGCATATCATCAAACCACATTATCCTCAAACTACCTTCTTTGAAAACGAGCCCAGTGAGGGAAGCGAAAAGAGGACCAACAAACCAAACAGCAGTTGGATGATCAACGACATAATGAACCAAGTTATCACTAGCTGGTCTAGCAAGAGCTGCGTAAGTGGCAAACGAACCAACAACACCAAGTGCCCATAAAGCCTGAAGAGTCCTCTTGATCTCCGTTACATATATATGAATAAGAAACAGAGATAGCCCCAAACCACCAGCACCAACAAGGTAGAACAAGTCTTGGTTTTGCTTGATTATTTCACTTAACCAAGAGTTCTCTGGTAAAAAAGCTGCAGAAGAAGCGGTTACAAAGGAAGCAGCAGCAGTTACAAGTCCTGATCTGTACAGAATAACCTGAAGAGAAACAGAGTTAAAATTTTCCAGCATAAATCTAATAAAGGCACTATCTTTCCTGAGTTACATGAATAGATTGGTCTTAATACTACCATAAAGGATTCAACTTGCATGTTCCAATTATCAAATATCTTAACTTTTGAGGAACCTAAGTGAAGCAAATAATGAAATTTGAAGAATCAAAGTTGAGAAGAACCTCTTTGACATCGGACTGGTCGACAGTCCATGGACCGTAAACACCTTTGTAAACGGTCCCATCGACGGAACCTCCTTGAGAGCTGTTGCTTACTGCTCTGATACTAAGCCTTCCCTTTCTCAATCCAACTCTCGCCGTTGGACCCGACGAAGATTTGTTGAGATTAGCCGGCGGTGTGAGAAGTGTCGTCGATAACAAACGCGAGGCCATGGTCGCGAATTGGTTGATTAAGGAACCAGACAAAACTCACTTCTGTCGTAGCAAATTGATTAGATGTTTTAAAACGGTGTCGTTTTGATAGTGACGTGGTTCAGTTGTTCGGGACCGGAGTATCTGTGGTGGTTAATAATCGTTTTATATAATAAAACTATACTGTGACAGATTGACCACGTGTAACTCTCTTTTTAGTTTTTTCTATGGCTACATACAATGTTCGAAACTACGGTGACTCCGAACCTAACGAGTTACCAAAAAATAGGGGATTAATTGAGGTATATGTGAGGATTAGTATTTATTATTTTTAAATAATAAGTATATGTATATATATTAGTACATGTGAGAATTAGACAAAGAAACAACATATACTGGTGGTACGAAACTCATGTGTTGCGGCATGAGGTCGCTGAGTTCGATTCTTCTACAGTGCTTCTTTTCTCTTATTTTTAATTGCGCGAGTCAGGAAAAAAAATAGACACCAACTACATGTGTCCCACATCGACTAATTTCACTAAGCCTTGAGTCCTTGTGTCTCACATCGACTAATTTCACTCTGAGAGAAGCCTTGAGTCCTCTATAAATACAAGGAGAAGGTTTCTACTCTTTTCAGACAACCGGGCCTCGTCCATGGCCCAACCATTTGTCACCGGAGTCCAAAACTTTTCTTAATAAATCGGTTTGTGTCCGACTAATCGGCGATTAATTGGTTATTTAAGCGATTAATGTGTTTTTCGATTAATTAGACCGATTTGACTAAAATGGAGGCGGGTCTTCACCGCTGAGCGCCCAGACAGCCGCCAAGGCGGCCGTGTTTTCGAACATAGGTTACATACATACAAGAAAATATTACATATAGAGGCAGTTATCAAATTATTATTAACACTATGTGCCACTTTACACTACTAAGACATTTATTTGTAACAGATGATTTATGACCCCAAGAGTTTAGTTAGGACTCAACTAAATCGTGCTTTAAGAAAACCAGAGGAAGCTGTTTAGTGGCGGGAACAATCTCTGACCACACATCTCAACCCCCCCCATCGATGGTCCAGATTTAAGCGGTACACTAGGACAAGACTCATATCTGCCACTCATTTCATACCGTTGGATGCGTTGTTCTGCTTTAATTCTGGACGGTCCTGATCGGAAGATCTACCTTCATCCTCATCCTCACTTGTTTTGAATTCGACACACCCAAAACAAAACAAATTAAGGTTAAACTAATACTCTTACTAAATCTGAAATCAACAATCCATTCACCAGCTTGCTCAAATCCAGGTTAGTTCCAACTCAAATTACATTAGAGCTGAACCTAAGGTCCACATTAATTTTAGCATTGAACCTAATTTTCTGCATTTTTTTTTCTGAAGGTCAGCCATGGAAGATCATTGTATGGTCATACCAGGCGAATGGAACTTCCGTGATTCTCTGTAGAAGTTTGCTATCGATGAAAAAGAAATGTCAAGGATTGTACTTGTCCGCCCAAGGATGTCGTTGCGTGACTTACAAAACAATGTCGTCAAGGAGTTCTTCACCTTCACCGACCCCCCACCGCCTGCTGTTTTGAGCTACTGGCCACCTAATAGCAAAGAACTCGCTTCTGGACTCACAACACCACCGGTTATTTTGACAAATGACAATGACGGAGCCGTCGCATACTTCTTCCATCATTTTGCATCTCACCGAAGCATGAATTTTTTTTTCACCTTCGACACAAAAGGAGACAGGCAGCAAACGAGCCAAGTAAATGAGAATCCTTTACCATTCACAACACCAAACCAAACTATAAAGCACAATCTCAAACATTTTCGCCCCTCTTCCACAACCTCATCCAAGATCCCCTCTTTTTCCATGTTTGATGAAGATGAGCTACTACAAGATATTCCCACAAACCCTCCAAAGGAGACTAGAACCCCCTATACTCTGCTGGGATGAGTACGCCTTGTTCAGTTCCTTCAAAGGTACAACGAGTATCCACCAACGAAGAAACTCTATCTTGTGGAGATGAAATATTAGAACAAATGTTCACCGAAGACCCCGACACCATCCCCGACGACTGGATAATCGATGATGAGGAGGAGCTTGTTTCTCATTACGGCAAAATTACACTCCTGGACATCTAAGACTTTGTCGTTTGTTAGGAAAGTACAAATGGTTTCTTCAGTAGTGTACATGATGGTAAATTTCTGGAGTTCAGTCTTTGCTCTGCCTAAGCGATTTTATGAAAAAGTCAACTCGCTGTGCTCTACTTTCCTGTGGAAAAATAGCACAACATCGGCTACTGGAGCTAGAGTAAGTTGGGCTAGTATCTGTAAGCTAAAGAAGGAGGGGGGGGGGGCTTGGGTTTGAGAAGACTAGAGGAATTTCAAATGGTTTTTAATCTAAAAAGAGTTTGGAATTTTTCTCATAGGAAGGCTCCTTGTGGTTTGCTTGGCTTAAGGATATTGTGTTCACTAACCATTGCTATTGGACTATTTCAGACTCTCAAAGAGCATCTCCAACTGTTTGGAGCATGATCAGAGCTAGAGAAAGTGTGGAACAGTTCCTGAGATGTAGTGTTGGAGATGGATGTACCACGAGCTTCTGGCACGATTATTGGACAGATTTAGGCCCTCTCATTTTGTCTCTAGGCTCTAGAGGTCCACGTGATCTAAGGATCAACCTTGAATCTGCGGTTATCTCAGCTGCGGTAAATGGAAATTGGTTTCTTCCTCCGGCTAGATCGGAAAAAGCAGAGACTCTGCAGATCGTGCTCTCAACCATGGTCCCACCTCACTCTGATAGGGGGGCAGACAAGTTTTTTTGGCGTAATGGGGCTGACCATTTCGTTCCAAAGTTTTTGTCCAATGCAACATGACAACGTATCAGGGAGAGAGCTCCTGAGGTCCCTTGGTGTGACCTGATATGATTTAAAGAAGAGATGCCAAGATGTTCTTTTGTGGCTTTGATAGAAATACACTCCAGACTCCCTACAAAAGATAAATTGTCGTCGTGGGGCATAAATGTCCCTATGCTTTGTGTTCTTTGATCTACTAGCCAGAAATCCCATCAGCACTTGTTCTTTTCATGCCCATTTGTCTCAGCTGTCTGGTCTCACTTCTCAGGAAGTGGCTGGCAAGCTGCTCCTCCATCTATGCTCTATGTGGCAGATATCATTGCTGCCTCTCCTCGGTTGCGTGTGGTGATTAAATTGTTAATGCATGTAATTTTTTATTGCATCTGGCGGGAAAGGAACTCTTGCATTTTCAAACAGGTGGTCACTTCTGAAGCAGGGTAATCTCGCATGTTGATCGGATGATGCGGGATCGGCTCCTATCAATCTCTCCAGCTTCACCTCTGTCCCTGTCGCTGCTGCAGCAATTCTTCTCCCTTACCTTTCGTCTTCCTTAGCTTTGGTACCTTCTCTTTGTTTTAGTAATCTTTGTTGTAATAAGTGGTTTTTCCACAACCTTAAAAAACAGAAAAGCATGGTATAAATCTTAACATTTACACACAAAAAATAGAAGTTTCGGGTCTAGTTCCTATCCTATTGGAACTGTGCAGTAAGAAATAGTACCCTACTCAATTTGTTATATGTTTCTTTTAACTGGCCACCTCTTTCTTCCTAAAGGCTTTTGAGACTATTCAAATGAAGTAATTGTTCCATATTACACATTTACACTTTTTTCAACCTGAAAACATTATTCTCTTGTTCATATAATTGATCCATATTACACATTTTCAACAACAAAAAAGAATGTAGATGCATGAAGAATGTGAATTGATATATATGGGAATGAAATATGCAATTTTAAAAAATTGGAATCTGGATAAAAATGCCTTATCACATTTAAAAGTTGTAGTTTTCAAAAGATAATAAAGAAGTGTATTTTCAAATTGTAAATTATAAATAGAGTAATTTTTAAATTATCCCATATTTATATAAAATACTTCTTTTACCTTATAGATAGACCAAATTTATATGTAACATCAGTTTGTAAAGTTAGCATTTATTCTAAGTTAAATTTTATATGATTATAATTTAACTAAAAATTAGATTTTGACATGCGCAACAGCACGGATGTCTTTTTAAAAATTTAATTGAGGAAGTTATAAAGTATGTCAGTACGTATTTTGGTTTTGCATAGTGAAACAATAAAATTGATATATTAGATAACTTGTAATATGATAATTCTATACAAAGGAAAAAAGTTTTCTAGTGTTTTTGTTTGTAGAATATATTCGTTTTCCTAATATATGATGTTTAGAGAATTATTTTCATTTCAAATAAGATGATATTTTTAATTTTAATGCAAGTTTATTCTTTATTTATATAACTTTTTCTATTCTTTCGTTAGCATTTTTATTTCTTGCATTTAATTATTAAAAATTATATCATTATATTATCATGAAAAAATATATGGTATTGATATATAAACATGGTCTATGTTATAAATGACTAAATATATAGAAACTGCCATTAAGAAACTTATTATAAAATTATTATGGTATATGATTGTCAAATATGTATTCTATGTAACGTCATATATATGTTATTTATATTTATATAATATATGATAATTTAGTATGATGAAAGATGGACAAAGTATGAAGTAAATCTATTTTGTTATGTTGCAGTTAGGGATTTGAAGAGAAGGACGATCATTTTTGTACATGATGTCCAATTAGAGTTAGTGGTTATAAGAAGAGTGTGTTATAAGAATAGTAGATAACATATAGTCTAGTTTTATTTTAATTTCGGAATATGACATCGGTTAGTTTTATTAGACGATGTTGGTTAAATTTAAGTAGACCGATTGTATTATCTAACTAGCGTTAATAATATTGTAACAAACGTGAAAGATCCAAAACTTAAGTACCTTAGTAACAACTTTTCCAAAATTTAAGTGATAACTTTTAACAGTAGATAAAATTATGACTCTAAATTAATAGATTAGATTAATTTAGATCATTTTTCGGGTTTAATACTCCCTATTCTTTTAGATATATTTTGTTTGCTTTATCTCGTTATTTCCTAGAAGTCAATAAACACATGGAAAATGTTCCAAGAAGATTTAATGGTTCATTTGCTGCCACGCAATGAATGTAATGTCACTCGTCAATTTTCACCACTCGTTTGTATCCATCACTAACACTCCTATAGAAATATATTACCCATACATCTAAATTCTAAACCATAACATTCTCCCACAAAAAAAAAAAAACACATATCGAGTTCTTCTTCTCGGTTCTTAATTTCCACCATAAAATGGTGACCGGCGACGTAAAGCTGATTGGCTCATGGGCAAGTGTCTTCGTCATGAGGGCTAGGATAGCTCTCAACCTCAAATCTATTAGTTACGAGTTTCTTCAAGAGACGTTTGGTTCTAAGAGTGAATTGCTCCTTAAATCTAACCCGGTTCACAAGAAGATGCCAGTTCTGATTCACGCTGACAAACCGGTTTGCGAGTCCAACATCATCGTTCAGTACATCGATGAGGCTTGGAGCTCATATGGAACGTCCATTCTCCCTTCTCTGCCCTACGACAGAGCCATCGCTCGGTTCTGGGCCGCCTACATCGATGATAAGGTTAGTTTTTAGCATTTCAACTGCTCTGGTGTAGTTTATATTACAGTTCTAATGTTTGTTCAGTTACAAATATAACATGCATCATTTTAATGATATAAAAACATGTCCCCAAGATCTAGCGGGTTTTGGTCCAATCCAGTTAACAATCTGTAACTAATACGATTCCAAGTAACTCCTTTCTTACAATATAGATGACATAAGCTTAATCTAGTATCTTTTTATGTTCTGTCTTAATTCGATATGAATGGGAAGTGGTTTATTGCTCTGAGGAGTATCCTAACCGCTCAAGGAGAAGAGGAGAAGAAAGAAGCCATAGCCGAAGTCGAAGAAAGGACAGAGCATTTGGAGAAAGCGTTCATCGAGTGCAGCAATGGGAAACCGTTCTTCAACGGTGACCATATCGGTTTCCTAGACATTGCCCTCGGGAGCTTTTTGGGTTGGTGGAGAGTGGTTGAGTTAGATGCCAATCATAAACTTCTTGACGAGACTAAGACACCCTCTCTGTTCAAATGGGCAGAGCGGTTCTGTAATGACCCTGCTGTGAAGCCTCTTATGCCTGACACTGCAAACCTTGCTGAATTCGCTAGGAAGCTCTTTCCCAAGCCGCAGCCTTGAAGTCAAAGGATATTCAGGTCATCTTAAATATATTGGTGTAGATGTACAATTGCGTGATTAGCTGCAACAATATCGGTTATTAGTGAAAGTACTGGTTTACTAGGTTATGTATATTATGTTCCATTTCAATGTATCCAGGACCTAATATCAAGCAAAGCTTATGTATTATGTATATTCGTAGTTCTTTCACTCTTGTCTGACCTAGAATAATCACATTGATTGTTAAAGGAACTTTTTTGCCACATTATGACATATCGAAAGAAGACTCGCCATGTGCTTCCTAACTTGCTCAAGATAAGAAAAAGTAGGACGGAGTCTCTTCATAACAGAACTCATACATTGAAGATAGAGAGAGAGCCACGTTGGAGAATAGACAGCTCTGGGTTTTGTCGGAGAAGAGACAGCTCTGGTTTTCATTAGAGAAGAGAGAGAGCTCGAGCTGCGGCAAAGAAGAGAGAGATCTCTGGGTTTTCGTCGGAGATCGAGAGAGAGATATGTCGGAGAAGAGATAGCTCTGGTTTTGCCGCAGAAGAGACAGCTCTGGTTTTCGTCGGAGAAGAGAGAGAGCTTGAGCTGCGGCAAAGAAGAGAGAGATCTCTGGGTGAAATAACTTCGATGAGAAGAAAAAAGAGGGCGTTAAGAGACCCTACTGGCCTAAATCGAGAGAGAGATACGTCGGAGAATAGAGGGATCTCGCTGCGTCGGACCGAGAGAGAGATGGAGATGCATTGGACCGAGAGAGAGATAGCTGGAAATGCGTCGGACCGAGAGAGAGATAGCTGGAGATGCGTCGGAGATCGAGAGAGAGATTCGAGGTCTGCTTGCGTTGATGGAGAAGAGAGCTGCTTCTGCGGTTAATGGTAGAATTGTAATTAGGTTAAGTAGACGCAGGAGTTACCCGAGATTCACTGGTTTTTCTCTGCATCAGACGCAGATGCTGCGTTCAGCCGCAGACGCAGACGCAGGTTACAGTGTCAACGAAACGAACAAAATTTAATGGAAAACATAGCCGCAGCTGCAGCCGCAGGACTAACGCAACCAAACGAACATCACTAATATTATCTACAAGGAGAGAAAACAAGTAGTCCCAGTAAAAGAATCTGTCTCCGGGTTCATTTTAGTCTTTCAGGTTCTAGGCTACCGTAACCCTCTCTAACTGTTTCTGTTTCGTCCAACATCCTCCAGAAAATCTCCAAACTTAGAGTAGAAAGATAAACTGAAGCAGCAATCATAAATGTTATTATCTGAACCATGGAGTTGAATCTTTGAGGTCTTATAGAAAGCTTAAGATGAGGTGCGATAATCATGTTGGTGGATAAGAGAGTGACCAATTATCTGAAGCAGCACTACTTTGTTCATTTCTCTTGAGCTTTCCAGCTAATGCTTGTTGGCCTAAAGTTTTCAACAAAACAAGGGAAAGAGATAAGCCAATGAAGAGCAGTTGGAATGATGCAATCTGCGGTCACCCTCAAACTTCCTGCAGCAGCAGATGAAGCATGAAGCCAAAGTGAATATTTCTTTTCTCTGTTAGGAAGTATTAAGACGCTTAGACTTTTAATGTTGGCTTGTAGCCTCTTCTCATAAAACCTAAGAAACAGAGTGTGAGCACGAGTGGTGCAGTGCAACCTGTGATCATTGCCGATCAATATCGTTAGATCACAACTCCTTTACCAATTAAGATTTTCCCTTTTCTATTATGTTAGTTTTACTTGTTAAAGTGTTCTTAATTTAGGAAAAAGGAAATCATGTAATCCCTTAAGGATAGTGATCTTTTACGCATTATATAAACAGAGGTGATCGACCTCTTGTCCAAACAATTTGATTAATAAAGATATTGAATTTTCAAAGAGCTTTAAACAAGCACTGCGAAGAGTATTTGAAATCTTGTATATTCTCTTGTGTATTAACATAGTAAACGTCTAAGCATATATACAACATTGTTTCCTTTTCCAATAAGGAAGGAGCTATAAGTATCGTATCAAGAAGATACGTTGATATATGTCCTACTTCCTATACCCCCCCCCCCTCAAGTAGGTGATACGAAATTTCGAACACCTAACTTGGACATAAGCTTCTCAAATGTTGGCCTCGGAAGAGCTTTAGTAAATGGGTCTGCGACTTGATCTTTGGTAGAGATGTGTAAGGTAGCTATGAGACCATCCTGAACCGCATCTCGAACCTGGTGACAATCAGCTTCTATATGTTTTGTTCGCTCGTGAAAGACTGGGTTTGCAGCGATGTGTATAGCAACTTGACTGTCGCAATGTAAAGGAATCGGATGAGAGTGAGCAAAACCAAATGTCTTGAGGAGTGCTTTAAGCCATTTTATCTCACGGAGTGTGTATGCCATGGCGCGATATTCTGCTTCAGCAGAGGAGCAGGAGACCGTGTGTTTCTTCTTTGTCTTCCAAGAGATAGGTGATTCTCCTAAGTAAACAATATATACGCAGAAAGAGATCGACGAGTGAGTGGGCAAGCATCCCAGTCAGAATCACAATACGCGGTGAGAGTGAGGTCACCGTCCGAACGAAGATGAATGCCTTGAGCTGGAGATCCCTTGAGATATCTGCCCAGTCGCAAAGCAGCTTCCCAAAGCGCTACCAATGGCGTCTTCATGAACTGGGAGAGTATGTGTACTGCATAACTCAGGTCGGGTATGGTGATCGTCAAATAAATAAACCGACCTACAAGACGCCAATATTGTTCCGGGTTATCAAAGAGAGGGCTTTCCACAGAGGCAAGTTTATGGTTGAGTTCGATGGGAACATGGGAAGGTTTACATCCGAGCAAGCCAGCTTCTGAGATGATATCAAGCGCATATTTACGCTGAGATAGACAAACCCATCAGGACCACGGCACACCTTAATGCCCAAAAAGTACTTCAATTTTCCCAGATCTTTCATGTGAAAACTATCATTGAGGTGGACTTTAAAACGAACAATTACACCGAGATCGTTACCAGCAATAATGAAATCATCGACGTACACAAGAATGTGCAGAATCTTACCATCCTTTGTGTATGAAAACAACAAGTAATCCTCCTTGCTTTGTTTGAACCCAAATTGCGTAAGAGCAGCAGAGAGTTTAGAGAACCAGCAACGAGGAGCTTGTTTGAGACCATACAATGATTTCCAAAGGCGAAAAACTTTATTTGGATCCGATGATTTGAAACCTGTGGGAAGCTTCATATAAACCTCTTCAGTAAGATCACCATGCAAAAATGCATTGTGAACGTCCATTTGATGGACTTCCCATTCCTTTGCAGCAGAAACACTTACAGATAACGAACGGTGGTTATTTTAGCAACCGGAGCAAAAGTCTCGTTAAAATTGGTACCCTCTTTCTGCCGGTTTCCACATACTACTAACCGAGCCTTATAGCGCTCGAGGGTTTCGTCTTCATTCCACTTTAACTTGTACACCCATTTACAATTGATAGTTCACTTTCCTGGAGGAAAATCTGTAACATCCCACGTATTATTTGCTTCTAGAGCTTCAATTTTTTTCTGCATAGCTTCACACCACTCCTTAATACGTGCAGCACCTTTAAAATATTTCGGTTCGGTGCTCTCAAGAACCGCTGCCATGAAGGCGATGTGGTTTTCTGAAAAACCAGAATCAGTTAGACATTGTTCAATGGGATAGAGAACCTTACCGGAGACCGTTGACGAGGATCTTGATAGTGTAGAGCCGAGTGTGAGAGCATGAGCTAGGGAGGAGTGTACATTTCGACTGACATAGTCTCTTAACAAGACAGACGGCTTCTTAGATCTTTGTCCTTTACCCAAAACTTCTGGTACTACAGTTGGAGGAAGCGGAGGAACCTAAGATTAATCATCGACAGATTCAGGCAGCGACGTAGATGTTGTGGATTCAAACGGAGGCGTAGAGACTTGAGGTTCAACAGGAACAATATTCACGCCCTTTGTTCTTATTTTCCGTTACCTTAATTTTCAAGTTATCGATCTTTTATGTTACCTTCATCGTCAAGTTATCGATCACAAGGGAAAGCTTTTGATCCTCAACGTTTATAGCTTCCACCTCTTCATCAACGAGAAGCGGTCAGCCGAGTTTCTTGAGAGCCAAGACGGCTGATATATTTTTCTCACTACAAGAAAACACGACCTTAACGACTACAGAATTGGTAGTTCATTAGTCGTAAAATGATCATTATGACCAAGTAAAATCGAAAAGCGATTAGTTGTTATACGCTGGTCGTAACTCACTATTAGACGCACATTGTTCGTAATGTTACGACTACCAAGATTGGCAAACATTAGTCGTAATATTACGACTAAGCAATTGGTCGTAAATTAGACGGAGAGGGCGTAGTCGTAAGGGTGACGTAAAACATTTAGTCGTACATTAATCGTTGGTCGTAAACGTGATGTAACATATTTGTAGTTATTTGGTCGTAAATTTACAACTAAAGAACATCGACTTTTGAGGTAAATTAGTCGTACATTGACGACTAGCAAACATCGACAGTGGATGTTCATTAGTCGTAAACTAGAGAACAATTTAGGACAAAACGTAATTATATTTTTAATTTTTTTATAATTTTAATTTTAAAAATTTAAATAAAAATATCTTAATTTTTAAAACTTATTTTTGTTTTAAAATTTGATAAACTAAAACGAAAAATATATCAATCATATTTCATAAACATAAAATCCATAATATAAAAATATTCAAAATACAAATTAATATTAAAATAAAAAAAACTAAGTATTAAGGTTTATTTCGTCCAAGAGATCGGAAGTATGTTGGGCCGCCGTCGCTCTAAATCCACCTGCTCTTCCGGACTGGGGTCAGTGTTAAAGCTCGGACATAGAGCCTGCCATGCAGAGGCAAAGGTCGGATTCTCCATCATCAGATCGAGCATATTTTCCATAGCCTTAAATTTGTCTTTGTGCTCGTCTATGACTCGGTTGGCAGCTGCCAAATCCCTCCGGAGAGAGGAATCTTCTTCCATTCTTGCAGCGTGTTCAGCTCTCGCCCTCTGGACATCGTTGACAGTCCAGATCCCAACTATACGTCCCTTTTCCTTCGGGACAACCTTCAAATGATGAATGAATATTAATTAGTTTGTACATATGTGAAAACTTAATTAAAAAAAAAAAACTAAAAATGTATATAACAAAAAGATCGAATATTTTACCTGCTCAAAATTTTTGTCTTGATCGATG